ACTCAAAATCTAAAAAGGCACACTTAAGAGCCTCCCTCATCTCTGATTTGATGGACGGCTCATAGGACACGGTAGCCTACATGAAAAAATTCAATACAATCTTGCACACTGTGTGCATACACATTGGCACATCGAACGCTCCTGAGAATCAGCCCTGGCAACAGGCGATTGAAACAGTGGCCGCTTCACTGGTGGAGGTGGTGCCGGAGCAGTGGCCTGCTTTGCATTAAAACAGACGTCTCAACTAAAGCTAACATGTTCAGGAGTCCCTAAGTCCTTCATGCATGGCACACGGTGGAAGAAGTTGTTCATCGATTCAGCGGTGACAGGCGCAAAGGTCACACACTCCTACAAGGAGAGGCTAGTTTTTAGGGGAACCATGTGACATCATGCAGGTATGCATGTTCAAAGCAGTCCTCATCTTTCACTGCCGCCCCAACCATCGCGAAGTCACACAGATGGAACGTTAACGGAATCCCTCTCCAAATGGCTGTGTGCAACCGGCACACCACTCCCAAATCCGACACACCAAACCCGTGCAAACCTATCCGACGCTATCCGACGGGCCGGGCCTTCATTTTAGTAGCAAACTGAGGGACCATCAGATACATCCGACGCTATCCGACGGTCTTCCGACGGAGATTTTCAGGTATGGACCTCACCCCCCAAACCTATCCGACGTTCCGACGGACCACTGCCCCAACAAATCTGGTTATATATTCCCCAAATAGATGGACACCATATCTTTTCTGTGGGTTGGGTTCATATCCAACTAGTGTGGTTGGAGGGTACTGGTTTAGAGTGTACAGATCCCAGCGTGTCGATCCCAGCTGTGCAATCCAAGCCTAGGATTGATGGCGCACTTTTGCATTGCGCTGCAATCCCTGATCGTTGAATCCCTGCAATGAGGCAAGGTCTAAGGGTCCAAGAGATTGTTGGGAAGGTGGACCTGTTGATATCTCAATAAAAAAACAAAAACAACTATATATAATATATATATATATATGTACAACCAACTCTAGATCCTGAACGAGGAGGACCACTCTAGCCATATATGCCATATTGCACGTGTCTCTTGATCAACACGCTAGTTCACGTTTCGAATTAAATATCTAGCTGGCTACTTGGCCGCTTTGCTCAGCAAGTCAGCCACATATAATTCCACATCGTCCAGCCTAGGATCACCCCAGTACCACTCCACCCCCTGGACAAGTCAATTGGCAAACGCCAGCTTAGGCCTAGTGGCAGGGCATCATTCCAGGGGTCCGGTGTGTAGTCAACCATCTTCTCCTTGAGCGTCGTAGGCTCCGATGACCACTGCTGGCACACCTGTGATCAGAGGCGGGCGGACAAGTGACGGACCAAGGGAGAAGGACTTTGTGCGTATAACCCGAAATGCAACAGCCTAGCCTCGTGTCCAAAACGGCGAGGATACGCAGAAGATGATTTTAGGAGCTTTCCCCCTTTATAGCACTTCTTTCCATTGGAATTGGTGTAGCTCACTGCAAGGCGTTTGCCACCAGTGAACTTGTTCCTCACAAGTTTCCTGCACATGTTATTGGTCATGTAGAACCCACCAACGAGGAAGGAAACAAACAAGTCTTATTGTAAAGTTATCACGCAAAAGGATATATTATCTCGATCATATATCTATATATAGCTAGTATGTTGACATATGTTGAAGCACTCCTCTTCAGCCTGTGGACAAAGTATCGGTTGCTCCACTGCCGAACCGGTTTCGGCGTCTCAGCGCCAAACATGCCCAGCCAAGTGCATGTTAAGTGGTGGACCCGGTGCTTCAGCAGCTGTGCAAAGCGACGGTGCAAATAGATCTCAGCGACATGTTGCATGATGGAATACATTATTTGAAACGAAGGTTCATTGACTTCCGGCAGATACATATTATGAGTATAGTGAGGACAGGGCGATGGAGCTAACCGGGTTCTCCAGGATCCAGCTTGCACCATTGTACATGCAGACATACATGAGAAGGCATGCCTGGTGGATGGAAGAACGGTCCCCAAACCCAATACTACATTCACACTTCAATGCACCAACTGTTGGACATTCACGGGTTCTTCCAGCTGAATGCAGGTGCGGCAGAGAGTCTCGCGACATCATCAAATTGCTGTTCCTGACATATTTGTACGTCCTGAAGGCCGGGCAACGGAGAAACCAAGAGAGCCAGGCTTAAACAAAAGGGACTGATCAGTCCATCAACCAATGTTCAAAAAGACTCATGCAGACGGTCCTGTTGCCCATTGGCTTTGATTTTGTGCGACCCGAAGTATGTCCTCAGATGTCCACAGCAGAATGCGAATATGTGGCATGCACTGCACAGTTGAAAGGAACCTGAATGCTCATACGCAACAAACACGTGTATGACGTGTATCACCAGTACCATTGACTTTGTTCATCGCGTATGCATTTCAATAATATCCAAGCTTCTGTTTATGGCCACGAAACTTGAACAGACAGGTCCAAGAAAAAGAAGGCCAGATGAAGCCAAGCGCATTACTGACATAAGATGCCTGCAAAACCCCTTTGGCTCCAAGATGTCCTTGGAAGGTTCCAGGATATGCTTTATATATAGCGGGATCAAACTTGAACCTTTATTGCAAACATGCTTCATCAGAGGGGTCCAAAATAATATCATGTGCAGCAGCATGGTATCCTTGTTTCTTGAATGCCAGGCTCACACTGCACTGCCCTGCAAAAGCATCCACACAGTCAAATTTGGGCACGGCCAGGTCAGGATACACCTGCCAAGGATATTGCGGGCTATTGAGGTCATGCAGGGGAACGTGCCAAATGAATCCGAATCATATACACCAAACCTTGTCCAAGGCACCATCGCCAAGGCTGACATAATTCGGAAAAGTCGGACTGGTAGACATCCAGGTCGGGGAGCGCCCTTCGGTAGCTTGGAGGAGAACATCTTTCGCCGAAAATCATCCGCAGTCCTGGTGGGCAATTGAAGAGAAGTTGACCCCTTAAAAAACAATCTAATTGCATCAAACTTGCCTTGACTTTCATACTGTCACATGCAGAACAATGTGTTTTGAATGCAGCCCCAGTCACTTCCCAGACTTGGTCATGGTGCTGAGGCAGCCGTACTCCAGCCAACTTAAGACAAAACTCTGCGAAGAATATGTACATTCGAATCATAAAGCACGTGTCACACCTGTACAAAAAATATCAATGCAGGTCAACAACATACTGCATGATGAACCACGCGTACATTCATAGAGCTAGCAGCACTGGGAACATTTGCGCTCTAGCTGCATTGTCAAACATCAGTGAAAGCTTAGCAAAGCTTTCCCCCATCAATCCCCTACGCGTTGGCATTTGTTGCCGCATAAAGAAGCTCCACACATAGGCCAAACAGTTAACAGCAAATAAATAAGCAGAATACGCACTATACACCTTCATGTGGAACTAAGCAAGACCATGGAGGTCCATGGGTGGAATATCATCAAACATCAAAATGTCAGAGCTCTAACCCAGCAAAGCCAGGGGGCTCTCACTTACAAGCAGCCTGATAGCACTGCACCACCTAGCCGACTCACGGGCGCGAGGACTCAGGACTCAGGATTTGGCCGAACCGGCTCATGATTGTTGCCCATGAGGAAATCATCATTGTTCACAAAGGCCTCCTGCCCAAGCTTGGGTTTCTTCGGGCCCCTCTTTGCGATGCCAAAGGATGAAACCAAAGCCATGGGGACACCACCATGCACACTGAATTGGTACCGTGCTTCTCGAGCTTCCTCCTTCACAACATCCATGGCGTTGCCCGCTTTCTTCAATCGTCTATACAGGTTTGTATAGACATTGTTGGCAGTCACCCACTCAGGAGGGTACACAAAGCCTTCTGGCAAGGGAAAGCGTTCTCCAAGTGGGTCTTGTCCATCCTCTTCGGGTGTGGACTTCTTGACTTTGGCACCTGAACGGGTTCTCTTCTGCGAACCCTTCTTGGATGCAGCCTCAGGCCTCGCATCTGGCTCCATCTCATTTGCTTCATCGGAAGCAGCATCAGCAAAGGCAGGATCACCTTCTACCCTGACAGCTTCATAAAACGCATTCTTGCGGGCCTTGTGGGCCTTGCGGGCCTTGCCCTTGGACTTGCGCTTGGGCCTTTCCTCTGCATCGACGGCTTCTTCACCCTCAACAGCAAGCGGCTCCACAGATGCCTCAACAGCAGGCGGCTCCACAGGTGCCTCAGGAACAGCATCATCCTGAAAGGCCACCTGGCCAGCCCTCCGGGCAGGCTTTGCCTTGCGCTTGGGCTTGGATTTGGACTTCTCAGTCTCAGGCTCCTTCAATTCCGGATTCTTCAAACTAGGCATCGACATAAAAGCCCACGTCATAGTCGAAGGGTCAACCTTCGATGCACAAACATGTGTCAAACTTACTCCAGCATGAGGATGCATGAAAACAAACAGCATTGCCATTAAAGCAAATTCCAAAGCACACAGTACTGGAGCTCTCCAGGCACATCTGGGTGTTCCCGCACAAGACCCATGTTGCTGAGTCGGGCAATCATCGAGTCAAATGCACGCTCCTGTGGTTCCTCAACCCCAGAACTCATGTTTGCTTTTGAGCGGTTACTCGGGCCATTCTTGGAAGTCTTGACACCCTGGGACCCCATAGACTGGCCATCAGTGCCACTCGGTGCATCTTTGTTCTTGGGCTTCCTGCCTCGTTTTTTACCTTGGTTCGAAAAGTTCGGTGGCTCACCGCCCTGAAGCTCCTGATAGATCTCCTCATCACCAGATTGCTGAGGTAGCTCTACCTAAGGTAGGCGCTTGAGAGGTGTGACCACTCACCAACACAGCAACAAGAGTCCATATCCAAAGCCTCACAAAAGCTATGCTGAGCCAAGACGCAGCCGGCAACGCAGTACCTGAACGACAAGGGGTAGCCACAGCTGCCTCCTGCAGCAAGATCCAGCAAGCACAGAAGAATACAGAAGAATCATCAGCATACACTACATGGTTCAATCAAATGTGAACAGATACAGGCAAAGTGCAAAAAGACTCAGGCTCCTGATTCAACTGATCATTCAAAGCACACGACTTGTGATCATCAGATGCCGAAGGCGATGTGCTTGGCAAGCCATGACCATTTGTAGTTGATTCATTGCCAATCTGAGGCTCTGCCTTGGGGGCCAAAAGCTCTGACTCCATTGGCATCTCAGAAGGCTCAATTTGGGAAGGAGCCACAGGCATGGAATCCGGCAACATTGTCTCAGAAGGAGCCATCGGCATCTCAGACGGCTCAATTTCCTGGGCAGGGGCCACAGGCATGGAATCCAGCAACATTGTCTCAGAAGGAGCCATCGGCATCTCAGAAGAAGCCAAAGGCATCGACTCTGGCTGCAACTCCCCAGATGCATTCGCCGGATGCCAATCAACAGGTTCAGCCAAATTGGCTGGGCCATCCATGGTTGCATCGGCCAAGGCCTCAGCTTTGCTTGCCTTGGGCAAAGGAAGCATAGCAAAAATGGCAGAGCCGCCAATCATGATCACATCCGTGTCCCCTGAATCACAAACAGGCTCTTCAGCTGGAAGAGGCATGGGTGCAACATGTGTCGGCACCGCATCATCATCATCACTGATCTCCACTGACTCATCAACCAAGTGTGGCCAGTATGCCTGGGTGTCATGCGCATCAATCTGAGTGTCAGCCGCATCAGGAGGAGCTGCTGCGTTGGTCGAACCAGCAAACGGTTCATCAGCTGCAGCAACTGGCGCGGAGATCATGATACCTAAGAGCTCTTAGGACAGTTACACCAAAAAAAAAGTGTGCACGCTGCATACAATGATCTCAAATCAATACATATATCGCATCAAAGGAGCCAGCAGGATGATACACATGAACGATGCGCAAGTCGTCATCATCGTCATCATCGTTTGTCTCTTCATGAGGGACACATTGGATCTCCTTCTTCTTTGTAGGTCTCGCTTTGCGCTGATTTTTGCGCATGACTTGATTTAGTGCCTCCGCCACCTACAGATGTTCATAGTGTACAACGATCAAGCACACCAAGCAACCGCCAATCACTACACAGACATACACAGACCATTATTTGCAATGGCGATCATATGACCCCTGCCTCACCCTTTGTGCCTCGCTTAGTAGCTTTGCGCCAATACCGACGGGCCGCACTGAGCAAAGAATACAAGCTGTAAGCCTTCACCAGAAGTCGGCATGGGCACAATACAGAAGCAACATGAAGCAACAATGACAGCAAAGTGTTGCACGACAATGCCATCACATAAGGCACATCAGCCTCATCTGCACACCACCGATGTCGATCACGCTTTGTTTTGCAATTAGACAGATTGTGGTTGCTCTCCGCGTCAAGTTTAGCAAACACTGTGGCCAAGAAGCCAATGCTATGCTCACCTACCACAGCGCTCGCATAACAAGAATCATGATATGAGTGTGTATACTGTAAACCAAAACCATAACCACATGGCCTTCTGGGGAGAGCTCATAGAGACCAACAATGAGGTTCAAGTATTCCTGGATTTCCTTCATCTTGACGTTTCGGGAGTCAACATCCTTGAAAAGAGTGTGGTCACCATGACGTTCTGCACAGTCAAGGAAGGCAGAGCTGGGAAGCTGGATTTTGACGATGCCTACACGAGACATAACACGGCATACTATAGCAGCAATGCACTGTTTTAGTGTCATGCACATGCACTAAAATATAAACAACACAAGTGCACCATGCTGTATATATGGACAACTAACTTCCAGGTGAGATGCCCAGCGCTTCATCCACTTTCCCGTCCAATGAAGACATGGCGTGGTAACGTAACAATGCAGGCTCTTTTTTGTGCAAAAGGAAACAGCTACAGAAAACTAAGCGCGTGCTCAATCAAGCAAATGCCACAATATGCCACAATTAATTGACATATCAAACGGAACATGCCGGAACATGTTCAGACTCGTTCTCGCCTTTGCGAGGCGGTAGCGGTCTGAAGGGCATCTTCTATGGCAGCAGCCATTGGACACCGAGCGTTTGCAAAAAGAAAGCTCTGGGCTTGGGACATGTCGCAACATGATTGGAAAGAACCTTAAGGTTTGAAAACACATGGGCAACAGTTTTTCATGATTGAGGTGGTTCTGAGATGTCCTGGATCCAGTGGTCTCACCATCCTTGAGTGAGAGAACCTGCATCTCATCAAGACCATGCTCGGACCCTCGGGCCCTCAAGGTTTGATCCCCAGGGCCCATGGGGTCTCCTGAGCATATCGATGGCCCCCGGGCCGTCCTAGGCAGACTCCCGGTACGTGACTAGCAGACCCCATAGATCCTTTGGGGAAACAAATCCGCCGTGAAAACAGTGAAGCAAGAACATTCAACTAAAACGTGTGAGTTGCAGCCTGGTGCCAGTGTCACATGACCCAGCAACTATATGACCCCCAGTACTATTTTGAGAATGGCTGATGCATGGTGAACGTGTTCAAAGGCCATCAAGCCAGCCTTGCTAGATCGTGGGTGAGACCCAGTGATGACAAGATGTGTAGGATGTCAAAGGTGATGAGATACGGCCACAGTCTGAAAGGTGAGATCGTCCAAAAATCGACGCCTTAGTAGAAAAAACACGCATCTCCTCGTGCCCACGAGGGCGGTCGCTCCATTCACAGGTTCCTGTAGCGACCGTGTGTGTGTGGTCATGATGTTCGGTTCGGACTTCTTGTACAGATGTCCACGAGCGTCGAGGGAAAGCTCTACACACAGTGGGCAGAAGCTCACACTGTTTTCTCAATGGGCGAGTGAGAAGACGCTCACTGCCTCAAGTGACCCCGGCGGGATGCAAACATACGTCTGTGTAGGAATCCAACTATACCTCTGTTTTGAAGGACTATACCTTCTGAGATACCCCCACAGTCGGCCGTTTCCTCGTCTTCCAGCGCACCTGTTCGGTAAAGTCGCCTGGATGACATGCATGCCACGCCTAGGACGTTCGGAGGGCGTTGCTTTCTGGGCCGCCGCATCGATCTGCTGCGGAAGGGCAAATGAGATGGAGGTTTCTGGTGTGAACATCTATTTAAAGAAAGAGTGGCTGTGGAGGGTGCTGGTCTTCTTTGAAACCAATGGGTGTTGATCTGCTTCCCATAATTTCCAGGGACATCCAGGGACTAGTTTGATCTAGTTCAGTTCACGCCCCACATTGGTGTCGGAACAGCCAACACCTCTGAACAAATCTGCTGATTTCAGTCTGTATAGGCATAGGGATTCCTCAAATTCACCCTCTTCCTCACTCCCCCCAGGCCAGCTCACAGCGCACCAGCTGCGCCACGTTTGTCGCGATGTACGTGGGATCCCCGGCACCGAGAATCCCCAGGAAGGTGGTGATGGGATACGCAAAGGCCTCAGCATTCGATGCCCATTTCGATGGCGCTAAGCTCAGCTGGCGAATCGAAGCAGCCACTCGGCAGCTTCGGTTGCTTCAGTGGAGCCACTCAGTGAACTAACGTGTTCTTCGGTCTTTTGGAACTGGTTGCCCGGTATAGTGGTAACTGGATCTCCTGGGATTTAGAGTAACCGCGCCCCAATGCCTGCCTCATAGTTGGTTAACATGTTCGAGAACTGTAGTCTGTTCAACTAGGCTCCAAGGGTCAGTAAGGTGTCTTATATCATAACCCATCTCTATCCCAGGACCTTGAAAGCGACTGAACTTGAGATGCCAGAATGAGGTCACCTAGTCCCCAAAAGAGTACTTCAAAGACTCCAAAGAGGTCACGTACTGAAGGTCCTGGTCCCGTTCTTTGAGAAACCTGTGACCATCGTGACCATCTTCACTGCGATCGGACAGCCGTGATGTTCGGAAGTGGTTACGACCAGGAACGACAGGTCTGGTCCACACCACCAGCGGCCTATGACCTGTCTTATCGGCTCCTTTCTGATGGAGCACGGAACTCGGATTCAGGTGATTGTGACTGTGATGTTGATGACCAAGGCACATACAAAATGAACAGTAAGATTTGCCGGTGCATGTAAGATCATACATGAACACAGCCACAGCATGATACAAAATTAATCAAGCAAGAATGATGCTGGTTGACTCAACCCAAACCTGGGGATCCGTTGACATGCAATGCTTGTAGCGTTCCATGACAACTTCACGGTTACATCATCGCCACGAATCTCCTAGTGCTGGCGTTGCTTGCGAAAGGCTCCTGAGATGGGTAACACTCACCCTGTGGTTGTTGCACTTCTTCCGAAAAACGTTGGCCCTTCCACCAGTTGGCTGGAAGAAACCTGGGCAAACGGTTGAAAAAGGATGATCTGGAAAACGCGTCCAAGGAGGCATGAGAATGGCCCCCCAATTTGGGGCACTTCGGCTGAGACAAGCTGCGCAAGACCACAAACAAACAGCACAGAGGCAACCTATGGCAACCCCCATAGTTCCATGGTGACTGGTTGGACATGGCCCTGTTGCTGTAACAGTCACCACAACGGTACCCACAAATAGATACAGGGTGGAGGCCGACTCCAAGTGACTGGAATATACTGGACTCATACATCCTACATCCTACCCTTCTTGAGAGGCGATGTCCAAAGTGATCAAAGGACTGACCTCTTCAGGTCCTCAAAAAAACGGTTGATCCACGGCCAAAGACTCCCTCCACTGGGCAAGCCTGACACTCTTGGTGGCCCAAGGGTCAAAGGTCGTTGCCTGACGAAGCGGACGAAGCGGCCCGCGTTACCGGGATGACGAACCGGGACTGGATCGAAGCCATGGTTGTAGCACGCAGACTGCCACTGGTCCTGTGACTGTTTGGTTCAAAACACCCTGCAGAAACCGGTGAAGATTTGGATACAATATCACTATATGTCAGGGGCCGCAAGTTTCCTTGGTCAATCAACACATGTTAGGAGAAAGTGGGAGAAGCTGGGCAAAGAGACTCATGACGAGTAAGAAACATCTCTTCACCTATCAGTTCACTGTGAATCACGGTGGTAAAAAGTGGCATGTTTTATAGTTTCAGATAGCACGTGAGGCTGGGAGCACCCAAGGCATTTGGGGCCTAACTTTGCCTGGGCTCCTGGCGTTCTTTCTCATACTTATATATACTTATACAAAGACCCCCAAGCGGACCCAGGTTGTGTGACCCACACACCAGAATCGATCCAACGGTGTACCCTGCACACAAAGCCCATAGAAATTTGTAGGGGCGATAGAACATGCCAAGGTTTCTGAAGGATGGGTACTAAAATACTGGTCTTTTTTACGGGGTTTCTTGCGGGCTGTATGGTTTAGTATGGGTTGAAGACGTTCGACGTTCGGGTTCAAATTGTAGGTCTGAAATACAGGTTTGAAGAAAAAACAAGGCTTTAAGCAGTAACTCCTCTGTTAGAGGTAATGGGATCCCCTAAACATATATTATATATAATATACATTATACCTATATATATATTATATACACATACAGATACATATACATAGTAACATGACTTCACAACCTGCTCCATTCTCTCCGGAACCTTCGTACTCCTCCGGCTGAACCTATGACCGACCGGACGGAACCGCAGTCACCGAGCTCACCGAGCTCCCGGACCCACCAGCGACACAAGGGCACCTCGGTCGGTCGGTTGTTCGCCGCCTCGGTCGGCCTCGGAGACCTCGGTGAAGGGAGTGGTTTTTCAGTGGAACATGCTGGGAACATCCTTGGCTGGGAACGTAGTTTGTGCAATCTCAATTCAACTAAGAGGCTTATATAGCTGCTTTCGAAAGGCGGTAACGAGGGACTTGCAGTTGGCAAATGTGGATGGCTTTCTGTCATTGCCGTTGATCAACTCCAAAAGCCGTTTTCGGCCTCAACTATATCCTCTTCCAAGTTAAAGACCGACAAATCCATACCTCAGATAAGGTTGGGACTTCTGTTTGGAAGAGGATGGTAAGCTTGAGTTTGGGTTCTCCTCATTTCCCCAAACAAGGAAGGAACATCAACCTCACAAACAAAAAGCGATAAACCTCTAGGGGTTTCTCGCGTGTTTCACTCACGCTCGCGATTCACCTAAAGAAACACATATTCTAACTACTGTGCACTCCTGGGTGGAGAAGTTCCATTGGCCCCAGCACTCGGCTTCTTCTGCACCAGAATGATTCAGAACGATCATCCCAAGTCAAACCATTTGGTCTTTCAAATCCCAAAACCCAGGCTATGGGCCTAAGAACACTGTCCATGAGTCCATGAGTCAAGGGATCGAAATTCGGACCAGCCTTTTGACATACACCTGACCGATCAAACCATCACCATGTGGAGCTTGAACCCGCGTGGTCCTGCATGGTGGAGCTGGAGCTTACGCCGCTGACGCATCCTGAAGGGCACCCATTGGTGCATAAAGAACAGCAGTTTCGTATTTCGTAACCTCACTTCTGGTGCCTGTATTGTCTGCCATTGTCTGCCACGCAATTGGAGGGTTTGTTTCATGAATGAGTCCTGGGTGGACGCCGCGGTGCACTCAGAAGACCCGGCAGAGTCCAGGACTTGTGCAGGCACAAAACCCAGAGGTGCACTGAAAAGGTCTGGTGCCAGATCATCGAACATGGGCTGTGACAGACCCAACATCATATAACTTGTCTTTGTCCCATGTCCTATATAGAACTATAGTTGCAACTGATATTGCACTGCGAAAGAGTTCCATGTACAAAGTTGTTTTTTTTCAGCTGTCTTGCCCAAGTTCGGCGACCTGCAGGTGCTCCACCGTGTTGTTTAGGGTGGGTGTAGGAGGTGTGGGCTCTCCTTGTCACCCGCATCTGTTCACCCCCTGAAGGAACATGTTCACGCCCTGAAGGAACATGGAAAATCCACAGACCACCTGAGTCACCTCCACCTGACCGTCTCGTCTCGTCGGGGCATCGCTGGGCTTGGACAATTCGTCCAAGCCTTCGCAGGCTCCAGGCTGCAGGTCTTCTGAGCACCCAAACCACCACCTCCTTGGTCTTCTGTAAGGCCTGCTTGGCTGGCCGGAAGGAACGAGTCTAGAACGACTGGTCTCGCAAAAAACATCCTCCAGAAGATGAATCGTAAGAGCGAAAGTAAGAAATCACCCTAAGCAAACCAAGGGATCCTGATGAATCTCTGTGGTGTTGTCCAGCGGGCTCAAACAAGCCAACTCACTCTGTGATCCAAGCAGCTTGCTAGGCTGCTGCTGCTGCCGCTGCTGCTGCTCGTGGCACCCACATCAGAATCTCAGGAAATCCCAATACCAACCGAAGCCGAAGCCGGAGCCGGATCAGATTTTGATTCACTAGTGGTTGCCTGAATGTCCCGCAATCAACCGTGGATGAAACAAACATTAGTTGTCTGCAGCAATCCAGGGTTCTGACCAACATGATCCAACATGAGCTGCATAAACACAGAAGCTGAGCCGGGCCCTTGATGAAAATAAATGGCGCAACTTTACTGTATGTTTTGCTGAACTCTTCAAGGTTCACTCACGCTGGTGGAAAGGATCCCAAACCCCGAGTCTTTTCTTAAAAGACAACTGGAACCTCTAGGTCATCAAAAGACCAGCACACTGAGGCCCACTCCACTGAAACAAAAACGCATCCAAACTCAAAAAAACACTGATGGTTCTGTCATTATTCCACTGATGGTTGGAAAACTTAGATGTGTTTGTTCATCCACTGGAGACAGGTGTGCCAGCTATCCCCTAACACCCTCCAGCTGCGACAGGTGGGTGTTCTTATCACATGGCAAAGGACAGGACGGGTCGAGCAAAACCTGGGCTCCATCAGCTGCTCTCCAGACCTCTGCGTTGGGAGCATGAGCCAGGAGCAGCCTCGGGCGACAGGTCGGGCGACAGGTCGCCAGGCGACATGTCTGGCGAACTTATGAGAACTTGAGGGGCCTGGAATTCACTAAATTTCATGCTACGCACATCAATCGAGACATAACATTGAAAGATTATCTAAATATGATGTTTGGGCCGTTTTTTTTAGAGGTCACGGTACTTGTTTATTGATTTTTTGGGCTCAATCGAAACCAGGAATGGTCAGTCTGGTAGGAACAGGCCTCCAAAGGTTGTCTCACAGAAATATGTCATTGGATATCCCCTTGTCCCGCTGCAGATCTGTGTGGTCTAGTTCTCTTCCAACTGGGATAAGTGCTTCATCCCAAAATCAATGCAAGCAAGCGCCTGATGCAAATGACCTTGCCTATCGAACTTGAGCTCTTTGTAAGATCCGTAGATTCCAAATCCTATTCCTATTATTCAACAAATTCCCGATCTCCAAACATGAGTGGTTGCGTTACAGTACATCGACAGTATGTACAGATATATATCAAAAGATATCAAGAGATACATCAATACAAAACTGGCTGCTTGGAAACAAATATGAAACATCAATTGATCCAAGCGTCTCAATTTTTCTCCCTGAGAATCCGTTTAGGTGGTTTAGACGTCCGCGTCCGCGCGTCTGTGGAAACGAAGAAGAACTGGGAGTTGACTCACGATCGAAGTCCGGGGGGTCTCCCCATTGGATTTCACGACTCTACGTGGGGACGTACCGAACCGGTCCCACGGGTCCTCTTGGGTCGGTCCACTGCTGGGACCGAAGGTGGCAGTGGATTTCTAGGGAATTGCGATGATCATGAGTTCACATCCACCGGGACCTTGGTGCAACAAAGCTGAGATCATGCCGAAAGCAGTTGAGGTCACGCACTGCAAGAGCTGCAGACCTCAGTGGCCATTAAATCATGTCATGAAACACTTAGAAGTTGAGGAGACCAATCAGTTGGGCTTCCAATGCATGAACAACAACAACCAACCAACCAACCAACCAACCAACCAACCAACCAAGCAAGCAAGCAAACAAACAAACAAACATTGCCAATCATGTTGGGATTTCTTGGGATGAATCCACAAATGTTGCGTGAAGCTTAATTAGTGTTGTTGTGGCATTTTGTCTTTTCCCATGGAGACCCGCCCTAGTCAGCCATGTTTTCCGTTCTTGAAATATTTCGGCACATCTCCGAGTGACTCATCTCCGTCGTCCGTGTGCTCGCGCTGCTCGCAGCTTGGAGCTGTGTCTGGCCTGGGCGCTCCGGCCGCTTGGAGGGTGGATCCAGCCGACCAATCCTATAGTTGGTGTGCTTTTTTTCCAGAGCCTGCAAACCGACCGTACTTTGATCGTTGCATCAATGTGTTGCATCACTTTTATTTGTGCGGGGATTCATCCCAAATCCACGAAAACTACCGCGGAGGTCCAAGAATAGTACAACAGCCCTCAATCAAAAACGGCACGGGCAAAAAACAGAAGCAGTGCGACAGGGACCGAATATCTGGCACGACCAGGGATATTGGTTAAAGCAACGAGCTCTGCAAAGATCATGTAGTCTTTGACTATGACAGGACATAGAGGACCACCACAAAAGGTCGTAAACTTTCCAATGGGATATTGCCGCATGTTTTGCGTGAAGGATAGAACAACAAAATGTGTTCACACTCCTTATTTGGGGCCCTGCTTAATACGAGTCCGCCTATAATAACAAATCTAGAATGTGGGGTGTCATGGAGAAGAAGCAACGAACAGGGGCACTCACAGATCCAGTTCTTTAGTCACGTTCGTCCAGTTCATGAGGGTCGTTCCTTGAACTTGAAACCAGTGAAATATAGTGAAATGCTTTGGAGTGGAAAGGAATGTCCACCGCTCTCTGTGGAATTCCACGAGATCGGACAGACGACGGAGAACGTCCGAGTGGAGATCGGACGTCCACGCCACCCACCGGGGGATGGAATTCTCTCTCCAGGTGATATATCACTATGGTGGGAGGAAGAATCCCTCTGCACAGGAGTCATTCATTCCTTTGATTGAGGCTCAAGACTGCAGGATGAGAACATAGTCCCAAATAGATTTGGACGCTTCTTTTCCTCTTAGCACTACTCCCCTGCTTCACCAAGTGAAAAAATAAATGTTCCGGCACTATGTGAAGTGCCATGCGATTCTTCCAACGCCCTGAACGGCACCAGGTGATTCCGGTTCCCAACGGGGTCCAGGGCTTTTCGAACGGAAGGCCAGCACGTCCAAGTGGCAGATTTGGAGCAACGGAGGGTAGAATTGGAGCAAGTGGCTGGCAGCGCCTCGGGCAAGAACAAAGTCGGGCGGCACGGATCAGAAAATGGATGAGCCCGGCCAAGAATCTCGCTACAAACTCACATTTGACGTGGAAGTAAACAATGCTCCATCTGCTGAGGAGACCTGTCTAGCAGCTGTCCCTCGACACCATAGATATATAATCGTGTCAAGGAAACTGGCCATGAAACCTCATGGGTTTTTTCTTTTGTTGGGAGAACATCGGAGTGATGATGCACACCCTGGTTCAACATCTGCATCATGCAGGTCAACAACTACCAACTACCAAATACACTTTCTTTCTTTCCAAGTTGACCTCGTGCTATCCTCCTCAATCAATCAAGCAACAAGTCCGTGGATGTCCCATGTGTTGATCCCCTTCGCCCTTGACCTCTTTCTGGGATCCAAAACCGCCAGAGCAATGGAGAGCACAATACCTGGAGGCCAAGCAGCGCAGCGATGCGAGGGCCAGGCACGGGACATCGGACACCGATGTGGGACACCGGTAAATGGCATTACGGCTCGTTCGGTTGCTTTCTGTTGGAGCAGCAGACTCTTTTTGGGAATTTTGGGACGGGCAATGCAATATAACAGTTGTTTAAACACAATATATATTAATTGTGACTAAAAAACAGTCACACTGGAAGCTTCCTCGCCCTCCGACCAACCTACGTCCTCCTATCGGTCCTCCGATCCGCCCCGCGTCCTCGCTCACCCTTTTCCTCAGGGTGTCGGTCCGTTCATCGTGTCCAGGCCTTGAGCCAACCATCGGTGGCTTCACACTTGAAGGTTCCCTCCATTGGTGTCGGTCGATCGAAACTCTTCGATTCACACAGGCTTAACTTTCTTTTTCAAGTGTGACTAGTTCGAAACTGCTTCGATCCATCTTGAGCTGTATGTCCTGTTCGGATTTTCCTTTAACGAGCTATTGTCGTCATAGATCCTGAACTTTCCGAGTGCCAACACCTTTCGAAGGAACGAAGAGTCCATAGGCTTCGTTAAACAGTCTGCTAGCATAATGGCGGTCGAGATCCACCGGCATTCAGTCGTGTGTTCTGACTGCTGTTTTATTAGCATGACTTCTATGGTTGTCCTCCACTCTTGGCAATTGGGTGTTGCCATTCTATTCACCAGGTCATACAAGCTCTTGCAATCCGTGATTAGAAGTGCTTTTGGCTCCTGCTGCAATGATTTTTCTGGTGTTTGCCACCTGAATTTTCCGTCTTTGATGACAGCCCACATGCATCTCAACCATGTTAACTTATCAAGAGACGAAGACATTGCATAAGCTTCTGCACTTAAAGTTGATCTTACAACTCTGCTAATCTGTTTGGAGTGCCAAGCTACTGGGGATATCTCTGAAATCTTATTCTCTGCTAAGTTCTTTGTACAAGCTGCTATGAATACCCCTTGTTGCGGTTTTAGTTGATTCTCTGAGGCAAAACTTGCATCACCGAAACTAGCGAATGTGATTTCATTAACTCCGATTGGTTGGACAATGATCGATGTTTCTGCCGTTTCCTTCGTTTCCTGCAAAACTTTATTTGCTTCTATTAGGTCTTTTACCTTTGCACTGCATATCCGTTTCTGCAAGAATGCCACTTTAGCCATCATGTCCGGTCGTGAGTGAACTGCTGCATACTGAAGGCTGCCACACAAAGCTCGAAGCTGTTGCTGTTCTTGCTCGGTTACAGGTGCTTCCTGTTCTTTTCTTCTTAACTTCGGAATGTCTATTGGTTCGATTTGGTGTACGTAATCCTTTTGTCCTACCTTGTTTGAAAAGTCATCTCGTTCTATGGTTAACCCAGTGAACTTAAACTTGGTGCTTTCATGATTACCGAATGGCAGTTTCTTTTGTACTTGCTGCAATGCTTTGTTAAACCGACTGCTTCCCCTCCGATTCCATCATCCACATGTGTTCCAAGTATACCGTCCAACTTGGTGGAATCCGATGGGTCTCTCAGCAGGAACAAGCAATTGTCCAGGGGATGTGCCACAAATCCTGCATTCTCTAGGCATCTTCTAAATTCTTTGTATAAAAGTAGAGGTGCGTCTACTCTTCCATATGCGTTTCCCTTTAGGAGGAGCACATGTTCTTTTGAGATACCCAGCAACTTTTGGAATTCGGGCACCGGCTGCATCGCAAGCTCGCGGTCGTCAGATCTTCCTCTCAAGAAAGCTGTCTTGATGTCGAAAGATTGAATCTGCCAATGTTTTGAACTCACTGTTTGGAGAACCATCACGCGGCCGTCCCTTGACAGGGTCGGGCTTTCTGTCGAGACCAAACCTACCTCCGGGTCCTGAAACCCTCGGATTACTAGTCTGGCTTTCGGTTTTCTCCCTCCTGGTGATTGATGGTCTTCTTTCCATGTTAATACCCATTTGGATGTCATTATTCGGCTTGGGTGTATTTTATTTCTTAACAGTGGTTCGACCGTGCTTGTTTCAATCCAGCATTTCAATTCCTTTCGTTTTGCTTCATCAAACTGCCGTTTCTCCTCTTCTGTGAGGTTTCTGTATTGCACTTCTGTGTGTGTCTTCTTGGCGGCTTTGCTCAAGACTTCTGCCTGGTAACATGGGTTCCTCATGAACTTTTCCAATGTTTTCACTGGAACAATTAATTCAAGGCTGCAGAACTGTGCATCGGCTACCTCAGATGATTCATCACTCCATAGAGTCCCTTTATCATCTATCCCCTCCGCTGCTTGATCTACCGCTTCTATGCTACATGCATTAACCACAAAAGAATCTTCCCCTGATTCGTGTGGATTTTCCCCATCCCCCTTTTCCTGAACCGATTCATTCGGACCGAAATTTTCTGCTAGTTCTTCATCTGCATTTGGGTCATCAACTGGGATTTGACTGACATCTAGTCCTGGAGGAAGACTTGGCGGCTCTGCAATTGAGTTTCGCCGGACGGGCTCTTCTTCCGGCTGGCTTGGTCGGACTGGGGCTTCATTCGAAGGCTCTGCAATTGACGGCTCGTATTCTTCGTTTTCGGTCATGTCCGAAAATTGGAACATACCGCTTCTTTCTCTTAACTGGCTTCGAAGCTGATCGGCCATCTCTTGGAGTCTTCTTGTTTCCCCAATCTGCTGAAAGCCGTGGTGGCTCTGAAACTCTCGCAGGGACACTGACCTCATGTTCTCTCTGGCTACTCTTAAGAGGCGATTGAGGTGGGTTACCCAAACAATAGTTCGAGTTTCATGCATCACAACTTGACACGGACCTACCCACCTACCTTTCTCCAACATATTTGGGGCTTTTCGCTTATCCCAAATCATGCACAGTTCTCCGCACTTCCAGTCGTGTTCTCTACCCCGAGACTGCCTCAGGATTGCTCGACGAATTGCTGCGCTGTTGTCTGCATCGATGAATGCTTTTCTTGCTTCTGTTCTAATGTTCATTCTTCTTTCGAAAGCTTCGGTTTGGGTGTCTTCTCCATCCCCTAACGAATGAGCTGTCGTATCTTCATCGCTGCATACTGATCCGGGCAATCGAGCGGCTCTACCTAAGACTGCTTGCTCAGGACTGTACCCCTTTGATATGCTCATGCTGTTCTTTGCTTGGAAACACTGGGAAAGTGCATAGTCGAAGTCCTTCTCAGTTTTTATTGGAGAGTGGTTATCGATTCTACTGAGCATTTCTTTGATTGTTCCACCGTGCCTCTCTATTCTTCCTCTTTGCCAGGGAGCAGCTGACGTCAGTGATTGGATCCCATGTTGTTGTAACATGTTTTTCCACTGCTGGCTTACGAATTCACCTGCTAAATCATGAACTATTGTTTGAGGGGGTCCAGCCCAATGCAACCATGTCTCATTCACAATTCTTTCCGCCTCTTCCGTTCCCCTTTGGCATCTTCTGCCCAAGTGAAAATGGGTGGCTTCATCAAAAATGTGAATCACATAGTATCGTTTGCCCTGGGAATCTTTCCATTCAAAACCGTCCATGGATATGACTTCGTTGAATTCCTTTGGTTCTTTCAACTTTCCTGGGCTGTGCAATTTCGGTGGGACCCTTTCCGAACATGATTGACACAGGTATTCACTTGCTCCATCTATTAGCTCCTGAGAGAATTTGAGTCTCTTTAGATGGTTTGCTAATTTCTCGGCCGTTGGATGTCCTAGGTTATTATGCATCCTTTGAATCAGAGATTTCTGATAACTATCCAAACTATGGAATTTTGGTCCCGAGTTGTTTGATGACTGCGGTGACCATGCAGGGACCATTGTTGCTGGACAGTCCTCCCTCTCTGGCTCACGATTCACCAATGCTTTTGAATCCGGCAGGGATTCGGATTGGTCTGCAAGGCTTGGCTTCTTCTCTACACCCGAATTGTCTGCCTCTTCTCCGGACCGAACGGGGTTGTCATGTTCTCCACTGCCTCGTGCCTGATCGGTACTTATCCTGCTTCCAAACAAACATATCATGATATGGCTTGGCATGGCATGACGTCTCTGTTTCCTGTTCGTCAAACAAGACCAATTCTCTTCTCCTAGATCATATATTTGTTTCGTGGACCTGCACTGGCATATTGTTCTTCTGATTTCATTGGTGGTTTCTCCGACTAAATACTTGTCCATTCCCTTTCCTGCCAAAATTTGTTTCACTTCGAAATCACAATGTTCAGCAAGGAAATGACCGGGCCAGGCATTGACGGAGACATCAACTGATCCGGACTTTGGCAAATGCTTTTGGAACCATTCGAAAGCTTCATCCCAGGTTTCTCCTGTGAGAATTGTTCGCACAGGATCCTCGATTTCGGCTTTTCGCTTCGAATCTCGTGGTGCTTCAATTCGTGTGCGTTTCGCAGGAGGTTCGGCTGTCTCTGCGGGAAACAGGTCTTGCATTGCTTCTTCACTAATTATTGGAATTTCCGATGGCCTCTTTTCCTGCAAAATGCTCTTCGCTGCTGCACGTGCCAAAATTCTGGGATAGAATGCTGCAAATCTTGACAATGCCATCCTGTGGCCTTGATGCTTACAAGATCCGGCTATTTGGGCATGATCATGATTTTTCTGACAGTACCTACCACCTAAGTCATGAACAATTTGGCTGGATGTTGTCTGCAGTCGGGTATATTTCTTCAGAGGCCTACTATCTTCTGGATGCACTAGACCGAATCTGCATTGATCAAGTTTCACTGTCTTAGTTAACTTGATGATCACTTCCATCTCCCTTTGGTTCCACATGTCGGATGTTCCTGGGTTCTCTACTGTGAAGTGTCTCCTATTCTGCACTTGGATTTTGCATATCAATGAGCAAAGTTCAAGATGTTGTTTGGACAGTACTCTTTTGAATCTTCTCATATAACATCATGCTTTTGCCGGCATTGAATCTGTTCCATGCGCACCAAGGAAAACATTCAGGAGCTACCCAGACGTGCTTCGGCCGCAATCGAAATATCATTTCTAGCAATTGCACCTGACCGTGGAATGTGGTTAAGTCCCCGTGCTCTTTTGTGAATCTTTCTGACTTACCACCTTGCTTACGAACTTCTTCTGACAATCTGCTGTTTGGCTGTGCATATACTTCTAATAGATCGATTGGTTTTCCGAATGCTTTGCCTAATCTCTCTTGGTTCATGGCTGACATCAACTTGGCTTCAAAAGGGGTTTCAACCAGAATGACTTGATCGGTGATCAACACTTCCCAGCTTACATCAACCCTTGGCTTTGATGCAATTGCTCTTCCATCTGTTGACGGGTTTGGCAATATCGGGCAAAATCTCCGATCTGGGCGTCCAGCGAATTGATTCGGCTCAAACACCAACTCACGTACTGGCTGTCGGTCTCGTACACCAACTGGTAAGTCTTTCCTGGATGTTTCTTTCCCCAAGTCACGCGTTTCTGCCCCCACTGATCCATGGCCGTTGTAGTCCAGGCTAGGCTCTGATTTGCATGCTGAGAGCCTTGACCACGAGCTTGATCGTTCGCTGGACTCGAAGGCGATGGGGTTCCAGGGGACGTCGTTCCAACCAGACTTGCAACTCCCGCGATGCGACTTGGCTGTTGGGCGAGAAAGTTTCCTTTCCCAGCTGCCGATGACTTCACTCTCGGAGGTGTCTGCATAGGTGGTTGAACCTTGGCCGGCATTGGATCTGATCGAGCTGCCGGCTGCTGGAACACTCGGACCTCTTGGTCCCATACCTCCACATCGCTCTCTGTCAGCAAAACGAATGCTTCTTCTCCCCTCTTTGGTGAGGATGCGTGCTGCTTCATCAGATCGGCTAGTTCTCCGATCCTCTCCCTCTGGGCTTGCACCCATGTCAGCAATTCGTTCATCATCGCCACCTGCTCTCGAGGGACTTCTTGGTTCGAAACCTGGGTGGCCACCTGATTCAACAAGATCATCAGGAGAGCTTGGAGGGATTGCATGACATGGTCGGCAATGCTCTTGACCATCTGCATCAACTCTCCCCGGGTTGGCATTGCGATCAACGATATGCGCAAATGAACTCGGCTCACAGTTTGCTCCGAAAATGCTCTGGGTGTCTCTGGATTCCGCACACAATTCTTGCATTCTGATCATCAACAAACCTGTTTTCCCTTCGACTAGCTTCAACGACCTATTCATACTCTTTAGAAAACATGAATTCTTCTCTAGATCGATGACAGTTCCTAGGCGCTTCATGGTTTGAATCGAAAGCAAGAACGGCGCGCCCTTCGGAACAACTTCGACCACGAGCCACATGCGTATTTTGTGTGTATCTATTGGGATGTGAACTTGCTTATAGCTGTGCTCTATCTGGTTATTGCCGAATCGAAAAGCAACTCTGCTGGCTTGCTCTTTTACACAGCTTCGGACCTTCTTCGGTAATTGGTCTAACAGCTTTGGGAGATTCGCATCTCCAATCACACTCCGGCTGGCGCCGGTGTCTAGGATGGCCATTCCGTTTGTCTCGAATCCGGTGCTCTGGCCTGTCTTACTGAAAAGACCCACGGCTTGCTCCACCACTTGAGGACTCTGCATGGATGTGGAAGGCTTCCTGGAGTTCACGAGCACGGATTGGTTTCGGCTTCGAAAGAACTCTTTGGTCTTATCTATTATAGCTTCCGAAAAACAAACATGGGCTTCGGCTGGCTCATCGAACATTGCTTGCTGCATGTCTTTCGTTTCCTTTTGTTTCGTTTCTACCCCAACCTCACGATCGGATGAAATCTCTTCGATCAACACCTGCTCAGAAAAATCTGGCTCTGCATCTGCTTGGGCTGATGCAACATTCGCTTGGGATTCCTTGTTTCGCAACGGGCACTCAGCCTTCCAATGCCCCAGCTCTCCGCATCGTTTGCAATGCGTTCGGGAAATCCTAGCCAACAGTTCATCTTTGCCCTTTGATTGACCTTTTCGGAAACCCTTCATTCCAGCTGACCCAAAACCTTTTCCACCCTTGGCTCCGGAGGACTGATTCCTCACTGGCCAAAAGCCCCGATTCCGCTTGCGTTCAACTATTCGGCCCCGAGCCTCCTGGTAGCTGAGCAGTGCTGAATGCAAATCAGGAACTTCTTGAAAAAGGTCTGTCAACTCTCGCTCAAACGACTGAACTGTCAATGCATCTGCGTCTCCTGCTCCTGCAAGCTGCTCCAACATATCTTGTGTCAGATCTTCTTCGTCAGCTTGCGACAACAATGCACTTTGATCATTCGCTACATGTTCAAAGGTGTCCGTGTCGTTGTTCTCCTCGACATAGTTGGTTGGATACACCTTCTTTTTCTCAGATCCAGCACCTGACAGAACATTTGTTGATAGACTCCTCATAGCATTGTCTATTGAGACTTTGTCAAACGTTCCTCCAGTCATGGTCAGAATCTTCTTCTTGTCTTCATAGTTCAAATTGCTCTGTTTGAGCAACACAAAAGCCACCACCGACTTCAAAGTCGTGTCCGCACCAACTTCTTCGAAAGCAACATCTAGCCTATTCACAAAAGACTGTGTACTCTCGTCGGCCTTCTGCGTGGTCTTGTAGATTGCCCTGTCAAACAATTCAAACGTTTTCAACTCTGCGCTCTCCTCCCAAGCCGACAATGCTTTCAACAAAAACTTCACTCCGTTGTCAGCATTTGTAAGATCATCAGGCTTAATGTTCCGAACCTGATGCCAAGCTGTTCCTTTGCACAACATTGCAAGTCTTGGAGCCAGCATGACTTTGTCTTTCTTCGGACAGATGCCTTCGATGAATCTCACTTTGGCGACATACTCCTTGATGTCATCAGAGCTTGGGTCAAAACTCGGCAAGAGCGACCAGATCGAATTCGACTTATCGTCGCTTCCGGCAGCTGCCATGGCTTCCCGCTGTCCTCAACGGGCCGTATGGGCTCCGCTACCAATGTGACTAAAAAACAGTCACACTGGAAGCTTCCTCGCCCTCCGACCAACCTACGTCCTCCTATCGGTCCTCCGATCCGCCCCGCGTCCTCGCTCACCCTTTTCCTCAGGGTGTCGGTCCGTTCATCGTGTCCAGGCCTTGAGCCAACCATCGGTGGCTTCACACTTGAAGGTTCCCTCCATTGGTGTCGGTCGATCGAAACTCTTCGATTCACAATTAATATAGTATATATATAATATGTATATATATATGTTGTTACTCTGTCCATCTGTCCATCTCTTTCCGAGCGAAACTTGGAGATGGACCATGAACACATGCAAGCTTCTCGATGACCAAAGGCCCAACAAAGAAGAATTTGTCTTTGATATCCTCTCGTACACAACCTCTGTGTATAAGGATAGGGAAACCGTGGCATACCGTGGCCCTACAAGTCCAGTCTGACCCAGTAAAACCTCGTGTTAGTATGACCAGGTCCAGCACAATGCAATCCTTGAACTGTAGGGTGGGTATATCCCTTTCCCAGGGTCCAGTGGATGATGGTTAGGCTGTAGGCCTTTCTAGAAAATTGTGATAAAAGAATCAACTGTTACAGATAATGGGGCATATCCAAGGGAGATCAACGAAAGACCTCTACCCTAAGAATCCGAGCCTGAACCAATGGAAACAGTTCTTTTCAGGTAAGGACCCGTCCAAACATTTAGACGAACAGGGCTCTCGCCGCTCTCACCTTCAACACGAACCCTAAACGATGTTGAGTTGCTGACAGCGACCCATTTGCATCAAAGCAAGGAAAAGGAACATGTGGTGGCAATATCTATATATATATATATAGTTACATATATGTTATTAGTTGAGGGACACCACGATAGACCTGTGCAAAACAAACCAACAGGGCGGCGGGGCCAGCTGAAACAACAATCTCTCTCTCTCTCTCTCTCTCTCTTCATCCTGGTATCATGAGCTTCAAATGTGCCTTTTTGGAAGGAAGCAGGCTCTGGAAGCAAGCGTTTCTCCACTTGACAACGCACCAAGCGTTCACGCAAACGAAGTAAGATCCAAACTGATAGAAACGGCATTCAACGCATGTTTAGACAGAAATCACCTTTCCATCTTTGGAAGAGACATCGACAGTACGTTTGAAAACAACCCCCCAACGCCTCAAATCACCACCTGAAACACGACGACAACAACAGCCACAACCACAACAACCACAACAACCACAACCACAACAACAACCAACAACCAACAACCACAACAACACACAAACGAAATACCTTTAGACTCACTACAGTGACATGGAAGGGAACAACGGGCTCTTGGATGACGATGTTCCATGGTTTTCCTCTACACACAGGGGTGGTTTCCACTTCCGAAGGTCAACCTGCCGAAAGAGTAACATGGACCGTCCCAGGCAATCCAACGCATCGAATCTGACTTCCGGACTCCAATAAGATCTCCATGGTCCATTCCGCCGGCGGCCCCTGGCGGAATGGACCAGTCTGCCGGCTCAACCAGCAGTCACTGGCGTCAGAGCCAACGTTGGTTGTGATGCTTTACGTGGTTCTAAAACAAGCACTTATAACATATATACGTATGAATTACATATACAATGCATTCTGTTACTCTTGTTTCACCGATAATATATGGTGTTTGCATTTTTATGTTCCACAATGCTGACGAAGAGGTCTAACATAGTTTTGTATTGTTTCAACATAAATTCCGGGGGATAATCAAAACTATAGTATACCTTGAACTACTGGGAACCACCCTGACCATAGGTGTCCTTATCATGAAAAATGGATTGTGTGCGTAGCTGATTACTCATGATCTTGATCCTCAACCCCTTGGGCCACTCGAGTGTCTCTGCAAAAAGCAATCACACCCTGGGTCCGGGCGTTGCGAAGTGTCATCCATCAATAATCTACAGTAGGTGAGTTGGCCACAAATGCCACCAAACCAATGCAAAGGAACATTGCTCCGTTTTTTTTTGCCCGCGATACATAGTACTAGCTTATACCCCCCTCACAGCTCTTGGCTCAAATCCCTCAGACATCCCAAGACCGGACCTTTTTCCAGCCTCTATATTTAAACATATTTAAACCACCACTTGGAATTTGAGCCAACACTTCTCACCGGGGCCCTACTGTTACAAGGCAGGAATCCTTCCGATCATGGGACGTCTCCACGCCGAAGGGCCAAAGTTTCCGTTCAGCCTCCTGAAAGTCTGGTTTTCAAAACAACAGGGAGAGCTCCCAGTTCAACCCCCTGGAAGTAAAAAATGTGCCTGGGGGTCTGTTTAAAGCATAGCATACCTTTGCACCCTCCGCAAAACGCGCTTGACATACTGTCCAAACTCCCAGTGTGGCGATAAAAACAAAGGCAAGCACAAAACGACCTTTTTTCCTCTCCCCTCAAAAACAAGACGCACACACCGACAAACCGAAAACATAGACATAAAACAGCACCTGCAGGGAGGCTTGCTGCGCCAGCAACTTGGGGAAGAAGGGCATCAATGGCGCAGCCTCGTGCGTCAGCTCGATGGTTCCCAAGTCGACGAAGAACGCCCGGTCGGCCATCATCAAAAACCCCTATAGAACTAGATCAATTAACCTATCATCCGTGATCTGAGCGTTGTCACCAAGAGGCACCGTCCAAATTCGGTGTCTGAACCTGACATGCCGTGCAAACAAAAGTGGAAGTCTTTGGTTAGCCCAGGGAAAAACCTCGTGTCATACTGCAGGCGGTGAAGATCTCGGACCGAAAAAGGGCCCGCCGGGGCCGGTGGTTCAAACTGGAAGTTGTCACATCCTCGGCTCTTTCGGCTTTGGTACCTGTGAAGACATGTCTGCAAAACCAACGATCCTGTCGTAAAGGTTGTCGTTCACAAAGTCCGCCCAATTCAAGGATTGCGACGGCGCCGTAGTGCATCACGTTCTATGCAGCCTCTTTGAGGAGGTCAGCAGTATCGGCATCCAAAACGAGGTGTTCGATTGAACCAATGGGACATCTCGAAACGAACAACTCCTGTAATTCTTCGCTTTGAAGAGTTTTGAAGAGTTTTGTGGGCCACGCTACATCGAGGGTGAAAAACACAACGAAAACGAAGACAATCCGAGCCCCAATGCAAAATGCGAATCAGTGTTGTAAGACGTGATTGGGAGCCCCTCGATCTTTGATGCAGCCTCCAAAAATCCTGATGCAAGCTTGGAGATTTTCAGGGTTCGGCGCAGTGCTGCGACCGAGAGCGTTCGCAAGCTTTCGCTCTTGGTCAAGCCTCTTGCCTTCAGACATGATCATGGTGATGATGCCAGTCGCTGCCAAAGACTCCGACGACATGAGTCCCAGGATGGCAAGTTCTGGGAATGCAAACGCTATCTCCTTATAACGCGGGCCGGAGTTGGTGGCAGAGAGGAGTGCACGCCCAACAGGCATTGCCCTTGAGCCACTGAAGCTCTGCCCTTGAGCCACTTCTGACATGTCGATCAACGATCGGCCGTTCATCGCCAACGCCAACGCCGAGTACGAAGACGAGTGTGACCCCTGGCCCTGAGGCGGAGGACGATCAGACCTTCGGCCCCTGTGTGTAGAGCAGCTGTGTGTGGCCCTGCTGCGCTTCTGATTATCCCGGAAAATTCTTCGAGCTCACTTTCCATTGCCAATGAAAGTCTCAAAGAAGACCATGATGGCAGATACCACACTCCACGTCCTGAGATGTGCACAATCCCCACAATCCTTGAGGTGGATTCCAAATATAGAAGAGGATTGGCACACCCACGAGGAGCAATTTGCAAAGGCCGCCAGCAGCTATCGAGCCACCATCAAAGAAGTCTGAGAAGGACACATCCAGCATCATCACGATGGCAAGTGCCCAAGCTGCCCCTGTTTGCCTGAGATCGAAGACTTGCGGCAGCTTGACCCCGAATGTGTAGACAAGCAAACGCCCCAGAGACGCGGAGGTGAGTGCTGACAGGAAGGAGTTGAGATTTGCTCTCTGAATCGAAGTTGGTTCCGCGCACCTTCTTTTCAATGCATGCATGGATGCGTAAATGGATGGAATATAAATAAACGCGGGAGGGGGGCGGGGGAGGGCGCAGCGCCTCCCCCGCAATGCAAACCACGTATCGACAGCATGTGGGGAAAACACAGAGTTATGTGGTTTGGTTGCTTGGTTTGTTGGTTGCTTGGTGGGTTTGTTGGTTTGGCCGCGTTGTTGCTTGGTTGATTGGTCGGTTGGTTGGCACTCCGTTGATGGATGCATGGGTGGATGGATGGATGGATGGAAGGATGCTTTGTAAATGGGGAGGGCACAGAGCCTTCCTGCCAGCAAGAAAGTTCTTTTCCAGGATCTATCAACCAACATCGCAACCAGCGCAGCAACAACACAAACATCTTGAACATTCACAGCTTTTGTCATGTAAAAAGGTCTGCCCCAGATCCATCCTTACCATTCCACACGTCTCCCATGAGGCGAAGCTGGCCACACCTGCTCAAGCTCGACTGTGCGCAACACGCCCAGGAAGAGTGCCTCAGGTTGTGTTGCCAGCGCGGAGTGGGCGACAAAGAACTCGAATTCGACCACCTTGCCTCCCAACAGGTTCCATATCATTCAATATCCTCTGAATTCATATCGCACCAGGGGAATTGGCTTGGTTTCCAGGTGGTTTTCCACAGAAACTGCCCCAGAAACTGCACCCACGTTTGCTCCCCACCCATTGAGCTTGTAAACCAGGCCCAGCAGCACTACCAGAGTCGAAGAGGCTTCCGCTGGCGCTGCCCTGATCTCCCAAGGCACCTCCGCACTCGAGCGATCGAGTCGACCGCTTCGCCTGCGCCGAAGGCTTTCAGCGACGACGACGACGACGACGACGACGACGCGCCGTGTGAACCGGTGGGATGCCGGGCCAGTGAATGAACTGATTTGTTAAGTTAACCCCCACCTCCATCCATTCAGATGGCTAATCCACATCCATTCAGAATGAGTCTGAAAAACATGACATTCAGAACTTGGCCGTGGTTGGACCAATAAAAGAAGAGCAAAGCTTCTAACTGCTCGTCCAAGTGTGTCCCCTCATTTCTTGCGCGCAAATGCAAGAACGCAGTTCTCTCTCGCCACTCTTGTCCAAGGTCAATCATCAATCGAATTGTCCCTTGTGCCTCACCTCACCCCATGTGTGTGTGTCCACCCCTGGACAAAGGGTTTTCCACCACCACCTTTCGCAAGCAGGGGGATCAGGCTTCCAGTGACTAACCTGATCCAACGAAGCTGGGTCACTGGAAGGGATGTGGTTGAGGACGCTCGACCATGTACCTGCTGAGTTTTTCACAAGCTGTGACCCTCCTTCTACATGGTTTGTTTCATGGTGGTTTACATGATACTTCCCGCAAACTTTTCTCCTTCCCCAGCAGCTGCGCCGCCGTCTTGATCACCTCGCAACCGTTTTGAACATAGGACTGCCGGAGTCAACAATGTTTAACAATACTTCTCAGCGGACTCTTTCGCCTTACTGTTCCATCACCTTCCTTCCCATCGTGAACTTGCATTAACGGAATACAAGTGTCAGAGTGTGTTTCGCTCAGCCGTCCCACTCGGGTGCTAAGTGTGATCCCCGTCACAGGGGCGCAGATTTTGCATGGGAAAGCAACCACCACAAAGCACCACCACTCACTGGACTCTCACAGGAAGGCACCGACACCCTCACAGAATCAACCGACATACCGGCCGCCGGGCCAAAAAACGGTTCCTGAAGAATACATCGAATATCAACTTTCAGGTTTCGGATCCATCAAGCTCACTCCTTCAAGTCATGTTTATGTTTCCATGTTTTGCCATATCGATGCCGTGACTCTTTTATCAGCAGAACTCAAGTTTGGGCATTAGAGTTCTTCAATCTAATTCGAAATGCATGAACACACACCTACCAACAAGTTCACCTCTAGCACCACCTTACAACATACTCTCCATCGACACCAGGGATGAGACTTTCAACAACATCATGACAATACAACTCGGCACTTCTCCGCTGCATTTTTGCTGCCGCGCCGCGCCGTGCCATAGCTACGACCACGACATGCATTTTCCGTGGCCATACGCTCACGCCACGCCACCACCACTACCTACCACACAACCCACATGGCCGCTGCCACAGCCATCAACTGCACCTACCTTTCCCACGACACAACCACCGGCATACCCTCACCCACACCCACAACCATTTCAACCACCACCTTTTTTGTCCAATCCCACCGCCACTGCACTGACCTACGGCACACCGTCCACCTGGACGTTTGTGCAACCATGTCACGTGCCACCGCAGCCCACACATCCAACTCCAGTATTTCCGTCAGCAGCACCTCCCCCTTCATACCTGTTGCCACCACTACATCCCACACCACAGGCCGAACTCCCTCCCCCCACTACACTGACACATCCCCCTCCAACACAGCAACAGACCGCGATTGCCAATCATCCGTCCACAGACCCACAATGCGCCATCCCCCAGGGCGTTTGGCAACCCTACTCAGCTTTTCCCCCAGTCACACAGCCTCCACCCCAACCATTACCCCCACCGCCACCTCCACAAACCATCAGCGCCTCACCACCAGTCCAGCCTCCACTCCCACACCAGACGCCATCAGATCCAACACCACCACTCCAACATATCCCCACAACCGCCACGGACGCTCCATTGCCTGTCCAAAGCACGACCCCTCCAGCTACCGCATCCCAACCCTCTGCATCACCACCGCTTGCATCAGCCACACCAGCTCCTGCACCTTCACTACCTGCAACGGACAAGCTCGATACCACCGCCTCACCAGCACCACAACCACCTTCCCCGCAGCCACCACACAGCAGTCGCCGCCACCACCACAAGAGCCGACGCAAGTCCGACCATCACCGCAGAGGACGCCACCACCACCGCCGCCGACATCGCCATCACCACCACTCCAAGCACCACAGCAAAACCCGGCGACGCCGCTCACCCTCGACATCCACTTACACATCCAGCCTTACACCATCCCGCAGTCGCTCACCACCACAACCCATCGATTTACGCCCCAACACTGAACACACCAACCCAGACCCCTCTCAATTTCCTACCACAGCCGTCCTTCGTCGCCCAATCAACCGTTGGCGACCTCCACCCAACTTTCACACATTTTCACCTGCGGACCAAATCCTGGAATGGCTTGAATTCCACGCCACCCAACTCGACAACCCCAACCGACCACAGCACCAGTACATTGCCAATCTCCTCACAGACTGCAACATCACCTACAAGGAGATCACTGATTTCCGGCAATATACTCACGCCAAATGGAACGACACAACTCACCAATACGACCAATTCCAATACTACGCCATTTCACTTCCTTGTCTCAACACAAAAGCCACTACACCAGAACCGCCTGCGGTCTCCCGAGCCACATCAACCCATCGGGAAGTCGCCCACATCAACGCCGGCCACACAGGCCCCGTCGGCAACATTTCCAACATTCTACGCCAAGGTCGATCTTTACCCAGCACAATTCACTTTGCCAACTACCCTGGATTTTTTGCCCAGGGCGTCCGCATCACCCACAACCAACCCCATGATCACAACGAATTTGCCCGCATCATCCACAACACCTGGCAACTCCACAAGAACTCCCATTCCCTTATCATCACACTCCTTGCTTGGGGTGCCGCCACAAAATATACCTCCGGAGGTGAGGAACACGCCATGAACCTCCTTAACGATCACCACGGTGCAGTCTTCCACCAGAAGGGCCGCTGCTGGGTGATCCACCCGGACCATGCCATTGTCAAAGGACTGGCCTGGTCCACAAACTCCACTCCACCAGACACATAACACCACTGTCCAACACCTCCACACCACTACCACCTCCACATCCACCTTTTGTCTCACACCACCACATAACCCTTGCTCGTAGCAGCCAAAAAGAGCCTCCTGCAGCGGCCACACGAATTTTGAACCTTCAATTTTTCAAGCTCTGCAGGTTTGCTGTAAACGTCTTTCTCCGAATCGCACCAGCTGTTTTGATGCAGTATTTCACATGTCAGAGTTTCATGCACTTGATTGTTCAACCTGAATTGCGTTTTCGCACCATGCCCGTGGGAATTTGATGCTCGTTTAATTCATATGCACGGCCACGTGATGACGCGCTCCCGCAGACCAGCTGCTGTCCTGCTGCTTTGGCGCGCTGCCGCAGCAACCCGTGACGACTCTGTGCTACTGTACATCCCTACATCTCCAAATCATGAGCAGCACACCGACACCTCTACACAACGACACCTCAACTCTCATACACAGAACCACAGTGGTACTTTCGCAGGTACAAAACCTGCTCAGACAAGCAACGGATATTGTAGCACACCTTCACACTCATTTCCTCCACCACATCCACCAAGCGGATCCCACTTTCCGCCAACACTTTCAGCCACTCCCAACTCCGCCTATCCACCCTATACGTTTACCATCCACCACCTCCTCCTGTGACTCAGCACCATCCAGACCACCCACCCGTCTACCAGCGCCACTCTCGAAAGACTCAGACGACACACCAACAACACCCCCAGCTCCACAACCTACCACAACACGCAAGCGGAAGCAACCACTCCCACCACCACTGAACCAGCAAGCGGACTGGGACGCTTGGGACGGCGACGCCGATTGCCGCCTGGTCGAACTCAAAGAAAACCCCCGACTTCGTCCAAATTGGACCACTGTGGCTCGCCGAGTGGGCTTCTCCGTCGAGCAATGCCAAGCCCGATGGCAAGAACTCAAAGACATGCAACGTCAGCAAGACCAGCAACTTTCCTCCACACCACTACCAACAGAACCACCACGACAAGCACCTTCCCTCTCACCAACACCCACCTCACCAGCAGTTTCCCCAGCACCACATTCACAACCGGATTTTTCCCCTTCCCCCAAAACAACGCCACCGACCTCACCACATCGATCACTTCCCGCTGCTGTGCTGCTGCCGCCGGCGAGCGAGAACTTAGTGAGAACAGTCATCCGGAGAAATCTCCACTTACGCCCGTTGGCAGTTATTTCATATGACCCGTTTCACCCAGCTTTCTCTACGGCGTGCCGCAGGACAAATCCACTGACATGCACTGACAATTTGTTTTTCACGCCCAGTCTACTTTCACTAGGTTTGCACAACTTCGGTCTTTCAGTTTTCAGGCTCACTCTAGCTCCGCAGCTTTTTGTGCGCCATTTTGTCCTGCTTTACTGTACCAATCGTCATGGCCAATCCTCGCGCTCGCCCCCATGGCAACACCGCCGACACAGAACACTACCTGCCGCAGCGCCCTCCGAGCTGGCTCCAACCTTCGATTTGCACTCAGCCTGACTTTCAATCCCTCAACAGATCTCTGGACCTTCTTTTTATGGTCAACCAACACCTCCGCCATCACCCATTTCACACTGAACCTATGCCAAGCCAGACGTATTTTCAGGACCAGAGAGCATACAACCTCCTTTACCGCATGCGCGGTGACCTGATCTTGCTGGACCGCCTGATCGATAACCTCTCCCAGGCTCGCCGGCTCCTTCAATTTGTTACCACCGGCCCAGGGCTCCCAGGACAATACCGCATCAACCCCACAGCCTCACTCTCCAGCAGAAACCTGGCCATTCTACACGACATACCGCCAGGTTTTCCACTACCACCCGGACTTTCCAGCCGTTCACCCTCTCCTTCGCCACGTACCCCACCACAAGACGCAGAACGTCTACACTCTCACTGGACAGGTCCCCCACCACAAGCTACCCCGGC